GAGAGAGAGAGAGAGAGAGAGAGAGAGAGAGAAAGAGAGCATCTAGATCTATTTCATCTTTGAAATTGTGAAAAATGTTTTTCCATCCTGCAAAACTGAGTTATCAACCATTTATTTCATTAAGGAGTGAGCATGTGGGCTTTGCGCGTAAAGGTGAGTGTAAAAAAATAACAATAAAAGGGGCGGGGTGGGTAAGGGGGTGGGGGCGTTGGCCTGATAATCGCAGGGTTGTTTTTGTCACTGAAATTAAAGGAGTGTTTCTAAAGCCCTGTAAGCCATCTCAACACACCAAACCTCAAAGAACAAGGGCATTCTTGACCTGTATCTCATCCCAGCAGTTCTCTAACTGGTGCGTTATCGTTGTTTTATCACGCCTTGCACACTTTTTGGCGGCGTTTTTTTTTTCCTCCTTGAGAGTGTGCTGATCATAAAACAAACACACTTTCCTCGCGGTCTGCATTCCATTCACTAAGCTCTCCAACTTGGAAATGACATAGCTGTTTCTGTCTTCTTCTAAGCCCGGAGACTCTCTCTCTCCTTCTCTCCCTCTCCCCCTCTCTTCCACCCCCACCCCCAGCCCCCCTCTCTCTCTCTCTCTCCCTCTCTCCCTCTCTCTCCCCCTCTCTCTCTCTCTCTCCCTCTCTCCCTCTCTCCCTCTCTCCAATCGCGTGTGGCTCGCGTTGCGATCGCCCGCTCCGCGTGATGTCACCGGGAGGGCTTTTAATACGCGTGTCTGATTGGCTGACGCTAGCTAAACTGGGTCGCGACCTGCAGTCGGAAGTCCAATGAACGTCTTGCCGTTGGGGGGTTGCCTGTAAACACAACAGGCCGACCGCGAGTTGTCGGCGCGATGGGGGAAGACTTGTGTTGTTGGTGGTGCTGTTGGTCCCAGATCTCCTGAACATGGTCAACAGTCGGGACGGCGACAGGCTAGAGCACACGTGCTACTCCTTCCACCACTGTTCACTTGAGGAAAAGACACTCAAAGAATAAGCTGTGGAATTTCGCGTGGAAGAACGTGTTTCGATTTCTTGTTTGCTTACTGGGACCGGTTGTTACTACACTGTGTAGGCACACGCAGAGCTGCGGCCGACTTCTTGTGTCATTTTTCCTTTTCCTAGACCGAGTTTGTTGATTTTCGTCTTGCGGTGTTATTTTCATAAAGGGCCCCTGATAGATCTACATATGTATAAATGTTACGGATCCGTAAATGTTAATGTACTTCTGGATAAGCGTAATCACACCGTGGCTCCTGTTCGAGTGAACTTTGCCTGTAATCTGTAGTAATCTGCTCTACTTCTATTAATACTATTATTGTTTTCTCGTTCATTCCCGCTAAAAAAAAAAATAATAGTTTTTGTTTTGATTAATGTGCAGGTTATCTCAAAATAGACGGCTCACACGTAATTCGGTAAAATAGAGTTATTATTCTAATTCTAAATAAAAACGTAACTTTCTCTCACGATACTAGTATCTAGCCCTCTAACGCTGTTCGAGCGCTGCTAATCTGATAAGCCACACAAGTTGTCGCACGAGAAGTGTGTAAATCTTCCTGTATGTTGAGGTTGTAAAAGAAAAGAAAAAGTACCACAAAAAAAAAAAAACGTTTTCATTTAAACGTATATATACATGTATATCTTAGGTGCTGCATGACCTTCGACACTTTAGTAACTCAACTCGGATTTTCACTTCGGACAAATCGCACGGAATAATACTACTACTATCACAATGAGAGGCTCCTTCACAAAGCGAGGTCGCAAATGCGATGTTACTGTCACCAAAACGCATCTCAAGTGTACGCTCAAGAACAATCTTGGATCTAACGTGTTATGTGAGTTTGCTTGTTTACTTATATATATATGGTATATAT